TAGTACACTGTCATGGCTTTCCATACATTCCCTTGTAAAGTAAGACCGTATTCAAACGCTTATATTTTTGCTACAAAATTTCAGTTTGACTTCAAACTTTGCATAACTGTTGGGAATTATATGCTGTTCTTGGCCTTGGATATAAAATATTCATTTCGATCTTAAAACAAAGATTTTTGTAGGTATTTCTTGACTAGTCTAAAACGCATTGAGCCGTGATAATCCCATACATTCTTACCAATTTTCGATCGCTCGTATTTCTGTTAAAAAGCATTATTTTCGCTCGAAATATCGTAGTGATCCTTTAATTTAGATGTTCTCTTGAGAACAATAATAATATTCTGCTAATTGTGCCTTTTTAGAATATCACGTGATCAGTGCAAACTCGAGAATAGTTTTCTGCAATCTGTCCCAATTATTTTTTAAATTGATAATAGAGGTTATAATACCTTGTATACTCAAAATTTCAGATGTAGTCGAACCTCTATTAAGCGGTCACCCTCAAAAACGTTCACTCATGACTCCCCAAAAATCGATTCTCATATAAATTTAYTGTAACCTCTAAAAAACGGCGAATCTCTATTAAGCGCTCACCTTATCTTCCCCAGCGCTTGTGTGTGACTTTTTTTCAATTATGCAAATACACTGAGTGTGGAATGACACAGGAATGTCTGCGGTTAAATATCGACTCTTCTGGCATTACGAGCAATCCATTAGAAGATCTTAGAATTTAGAGGGAGGCCAGAGRGGGGAGATTTTGGAAGATTTTGAAAAGAAATMCTGCACGGCCCGATCGAGGGACCGAAAAAAAYTCCTGCAAGGCAAAATTTTGAAAAATCTGCACTAMAGCTTTTGTAAATTTACAAAAAATAAATTACAAGCGAGCGCCTGAACATATTATCATTAATTGCTAGAAAGAAAAAATCAAATCCTTTCAAGAGGGAGAATGCCCAACTAGTTCTTTACCTTTTATCTAGTATTTTGAAGCCCAAACGATCGTTTGCTACTTCGCCATTCTGAATGTTTGAATATTTGTCCGCTGACCATATGTAACAATGTAATAGTAATGATGTCAATTGAGTGTCGTTGAAATGTTAAAACAAATTGAAAATTGTCGTTCGGGACTCGACAAAGCGCATTCTGCCGTTCTTTCCAGATCTGTTGAAACGTTGYCACTGATTAAATAATCTCTAATTAGGCCGCCCATGAATACCTTTTATGAACATTATGATTACCKTGCCGGCCCCGACCATAGGCCTAACGCAACCTGACAAAATGAGAACGATCGTCGTCCTGTTCTGACCATTCGCGCTTTGCATTGATTATCTCTATGCTATCAGCTGTACTAAAGAAGACGAACACCATTTGTTTAACAGTTTTACTGGTATTTAAAATACACCGAGTACAGAAATTTTATTTCACATCCTTTAGAAATGTCGGGTTGATATTGCTATCCTTGGTTTCACCATGGCAGGACAAAACGACTTTGTGCACATTGTGCAGGTAACTTAACTTTATTCAAGTCGACTTTTGTTGTTACATCATAGTAGATCCTAGAACAAATTCATTCAGATATTTACAGCGCCACTGTTGGTTCACATTRCAATTATGAATGACATAATGACATGGTCTTACCGTTGTTTGACAAGGAATTTTGGTCCAAGAGGTAGGTATTCAGTCCAGGAAGTGGGCAAACATTGGTCTTTCGTGGATATAACAAACTGGGCTGCAAGTAAGTAAGAATTGTTTTAAAACTATATTTAGCGCTGTTCGTTATCGTCATTCATTTGTATACACTTTATGATGAATGTGCATTAGTTAGAACGGACTTCGCATATGACTGCGCAACAAGCACGGGACTTTCAGTATTTTCATTTGGCATAAGTGTTCACGGCGAGGCTCCAGGATCATGTCCGTGCACCTTTCACAGCCCACGACAGCACACCAACTTGAAGCTTTAATATCTATGTTTTAATGGACRTTTCGGCACTTCGGCCTTCTTCAGCAAACTATATATAATAGCGCTTTTAAACCTCTTATCAAAAATATCTGAAAAATAGATGTTTTATTACCTGTCTGATAGTTTCTTAAACCTAACCCTAAGACTTGAGCTACGAATCTAATCGAAACGTGGTTTGAGAATGCCATCTACCCACGACTATCTATATGTTTTGAATTCTCTATTTCGGATCTCAGTTCAGTCTACTGAGGACCTTAGGTGTAAATCAAATGTAATATTTGCAAATCATGAATGGAATTTATCAAACATATAGGATGAAATTCGATTAATGCATACCTCTTCCCCTTGAACCGCTGTACACGTGGACGTTAGGTAAACTTATTGTATKCTTTGGATTCGGAATTATTAGTGAAGGAAAATTCCCCTGCAATCCTTCCATTCGACATGATCCATCTCCTTCTATTATGTATTGTCTTTTCTGTTTTAAAGTAATAGATAGACAATGTATGTTTTTTTCAAAATGAATTGTTTTACTGACGGTGTGTGATAAAARAATCACAAGAATGGAGAGAGAAAATAGCCTGTGTGAAAGAGAGAAAAGTGGAAGTAAATAAAAAGTGGAACGGAAAAGTATTGATGATAATGCATCATAAAAATTCTTGGTTTTCCAGACAACGTCATCAGTCGAAAAAACTCGAAATATTCGAAAATCACAGACACACGACACTGAAGTACTAAAAGACTAAAACACCTTGGCGTTAGGTCCTCTCCAGGACAATAATGAAATTTTGCTTATTTGGCCTCTGAATAGCTTTTTTGGCCGCTATCACGCTAAGTCATAGCTTTTTTAGACTATCACGTGATCAGCGAAAACCAAGAGTAACAATAGTAGATCATTACAACAGGCGATATCATTAGTAGGTATTTACGATAGGATTACAACAGGCGATATCATTAGTAGGTATTTACGATAGGATGGGCAAGCAACACTGAAAAATATTTCAACACTAACCATGTCATAATGTTTGTAATATTGATAGGATTTTCCATTGCTCTTTTCGATATGAGTGTAAGTTCTTTTAGCCTTAGCGTCATGTACAAAACGTGACTGGACTACCAGCGGTTGTCTGATGTGGCCTGCAGCGTACACAAGCTAAACAATGAAAATATAAAAGTATGATATGCCAAGACGAACTTATAAATGATTATTAGAAATACCATGTAAAACATACCTCGAGCACATTTCCTTGTAGTAATGACGGCACAGCTAGGTATTTGAGAAAAACTGTAACGTTTATACATGATGACTGCTTTTAACTATTTATCTATAATTTTTTCCCAAAAAAATCGTTCGCTGTCTAGCTTATCATATTTATAATATCCTTATCATATTTTGTTACTCGGGCTGCTCTCTGGATGGTTACAAATCAGTGGGCTTTGATTAAATGTGGGCATGTTGGCTAGACTGATTTTTAAAAGCAGCGATACAAGGCGTCATAAACAAAAAGGATTTTAAAAAGGTGTCTTCCACCGAAAACAACACTGAATAACAACAACAGAAAAACGGTGCTTAAGAGTGTGTCAAARGTTAATAAAATTTCGTTCAATTGTAATTTCGAAACAATTGTGAATATATGCATTGTTTGTGTTAGAATTCCATGAAATGATTCTGTAAAATAACTTACCACAAGGCAACGATGACACGTGCAATGTWGTGAAAGTGGCGATAACTATCAAACCAATCAGAAACCCCATCTTACTACAGTCACTGACTTATATTTTACAAAGCTCTTCCTGCGTACRAGAGAACATGTAAAATTTATTGTATTTCAGGTTATCTGAGTTTTTAGCACCTCAATTTGCACACATACAAAAGAAAAMTTTCTTTGTTGCYACAAAGAAAATGGTGGGTACTGCTCTCTTCTTCCCTTGTTATATGTGTGCTTTTCAACAATAAATCACGATCGAGCTGTATGTAATTACACTGAATGAACGTCCGCACGATAATTTGACAACCAGGAAGTCATTTCCATAAGAAGCTCAGGATTTGCGTAATGGTGTGGATTAACTATGACAGGTTTTCTTTTCTTGATTTGTGAGCAGGTGTCGAAAATTGCTTCGTCTAAGTGTTTACATTCTATCTGTTTAAATGAGGATTATCAACTTGGTATTGCATAGCTAAAGATTTCTGGAAATCTTTCTCTACAATTYTGTGTTTTTATACACGTTTTGAGTATTCGCAATATAAATGTTAAATTCCTCAAGTTCTTGAAGATGATTTTATTGTCCTAATTCTATTCTCTGGTATAACTAACACTATAATGTATTGTACGCTTTTACGGTTTGTACTCTATTAAAGTAACCGGAAATGTAATTTGTATAAGCTTTGTAAGTAACTAAACACACGCCTTTATTGCGTCAGTCGTGGGTGGTCGTTTACGAGAGAGGAAAAACAATGAAAAATTCTACAATTTCAATCCCAAAGGTGGTCGCGGTCGCCTACAAGAGTGGTCTCATACAAGAGAGTTATTTTTTACAGAGTATATATGGGGAACAAAACGGGAAATTGAAAAGGTGGTGGCATACGGGAGATGGCCGCTTACGAGAGTGGTCGTTCAAAGAGAGTTAACTGCATGACTTTTTTGCCACCAACAAAAGTTATTTCTGACATTTTAAAAACAAAAAAGGCTTTAAAACACACACAACTTTTTATGTTGTTTCTCGATTCGGCCTCGGTTTGGTGSAAAAGCRCCATATGTYTTCTAACCACGAAAAGGAATACATCTCCATATTTATCATATTTTTTCATTTATATAATATAAACGATTTTGCAAGTAGTTAAGACAATAAAGTTCTCCTTAGCGTATTTTGTAGTTCATCCAATGAGAAACCTCTAAATTTRCAGTAAATACCATGTAAATTCAATTTTGTTGATAGGACAAAAAATTAAACTATACAAACTGACAAGCCTGTGCTACATCAAAACTGCTCGTTCTGCTCCTCCCTGTTTTTGATGAAAATTCCTCTTATCTTATTAAGTGGGCAAATATGAACATCTAAGAAACGGAAATTATCGCCTTATAGTTTTTACAAGAGGATTCCATAAATAGAAGGAAATGCTAAGCTGTTTTTAATTGATATTTATTTGTCGAAGGATACAAACCGCTTATATAGGCACAACCAAGTCAAATTGACGCCAAAGCAAGCAATTAAAAAATAATTTGTATGTGTTATTTATAGAATTCAATGAGACCATATTTTATATCTAGTATACCAACAAAACATCACATCCAAATTCTTAACTAAAGTAAAAAAAACTTCTAGAATTCCAACATCCAAAAAAGTGTAAYCTTTATACAAAAAAGCTAAAACGCCTAAAACAKCTAAAACGATAATCGTGCATGTTTAACTAAACTTCGAAAAAGAATGCGCATTTATCAGTAGGAGCCAACGGTGTCTATTGTTCTAAAGAACTGTTTTTGTACGAATTTTTTCCTGTGGGAAAGGGATTTGAGCTACATTGTTGACAATCATCTCACAAGCAAATGTGGTGCCCTTCCTTCTTTCATATCAAACTTAAGGGTGACAAAAAGTCCGTGATCACTCAAGCGGAACCTGACAGTATCAAGTGTCAAATTCGACGAAAAGAGACCAGATTTCTAGACTGTTTGAAGAAATGCAATGATATTAAAGACAATCCTAAAAACCTACCATCGAATTTAACAAATAAAATATATATGTGACCTTTCTGCGTATTCTTCGTGAGAAAATTTGATAATCCAAGTATGTATTTGTTGGATTTGAGCATCAAAATAGACTGTCGATCCATGTTTTGAACACGGCTCGCTTCTATATGACGTCACAATGACGTCATAAATATCAGGTAATTTTTATCAATTATATATCTATATCTAGATAACCAGTTAAATATCATATTTAGGCGTTTACTGCTCTTCTGTGATGTTGTGGTTCGTTTTGTACCCATGGTAACAGTTGTGACGTCATAATTGTGATGACGTCATTTCCTATAGTGTCTTTGTCGTCTTTGAATAATTTGACTCCAAATCTCACTTTTTTTTGTCTATATCGTTATTTTATTGTAAAATTTACAATTTGAGGAGTTTTTGAAGTTTAACAATGTGGAACAAGCAAATTTGAGAAAAATATCCGCCATTGTAAGATCCACCATCTTAGACCGCCATTTTGAATTTTCTAAAATGCCATTAAAAAACTAAGCATATGGAGGCAAACAGCTCAAAATGTCTTAAATACTTCTCAAACTAACATTTAATGAATAAAGAAGTGAGTTTTGAAGTGCTACTGATGATTTTAATAAAATTTTCTTCCATGTGAAAAAATTACTGAAAACTACCTACCCCTCCCTCCAAAGTTTTTGTTTTCCGAAAAAGGATTATGGTATTGTAGAGTAAGCAATGGGAGCAAGCTCAAATATGTAAAAGATGCATAACAAAAAAAAAAAAAAAAGCTTTAAAAATGAAAAATTAAGCATATTTTACATTTTTGAAAACTTATGTGTCAAAACCTGGTTGCCATGGCAACAGGGATGACCTTATCAACAAAAACATTACATAAAAACTTGCCCACATAAATTTTGGGAAAAGTCCGAAAGTTTCGGAGCTGTAGCTGTCTTGGTTCCAAAGTTATTGGCTTTTTACGCAAGTTGTGGCTGAATAGGGTGAATAAAAAACCTACCATCGAATTTATGAAAAAAAATATATATGTGAGCTTTCCCTGTATTCTTCGTGAGAAAATTTGAAGATCCAAGTATTTATTTTCGACTTTGAAGAGATTGAGCTGAGCATCAAGTAGCCAGGCGACCACAGGTAGCCAAATATATAGGCATTTGTGTACTTTTTAAACTTGATACGCCTTCAATACACTCGATTCAAACTTGATACACCTTCAATACACTCGATCCAAACTTGAAACGCCTTCAATGAACTCGATCCAAACTTGATACGCCTTCAATACACTCGATCCAACATTGACACGCCTTCAATACACTCGATCCAAACTTGATACGCCTTCAATACACTCGATCCAACATTGACACGCCTTCAATACACTCGATCCAAACTTGATACGCCTTCAATACACTCGATCCAACATTGACACGCCTTCAATACACTCGATCCAAACTTGATACGCCTTCAATACACTCGATCCAACATTGACACGCCTTCAATACACTCGATCCAAACTTGATACGCCTTCAATACACTCGATCCAACATTGACACGCCTTCAATACACTCGATCCAAATTTGATACGCCTTCAATACACACGATCCCAACTTGATACGCCTTCAATACACTCGAACCAAACTTCATCCGCCTTCAATAGACTCGATCTAAACTTCATACGCCTTCAATAGACTCGATCCCAGCTTGATAACCCTTCAATACACTAGATCCAAACTTGATAACCCTTCAATACACTGGATACAAACTTGATACGCCTTCAATACACAGGATCCAAACTTGATACACCTTCAATACACTTCATCAAAACTTCATACCCCTTCAATACACTCGATCCAAACATGATACGCCTTCAATACACTCGATCCAAACATGATACGCCTTCAATACACACGATCCAAACCTCATACGCCTTCAATACACTCAATCCAAACATGATACGCGTTCAATACACACGATCCAACCTTAATACGCCTTCAATACCCTCGATTCAATCTTGATACGCCTTCAATACACTCGATCCAAACTTGATACGCCTTCAATACATCCGCTCCAAACCTCATACGCCTTCAATACACACGATCCAAACTTGATACGCCTTCAATACACTCGATCCAAACTTATGGTACTGTACCGCACACGGTACAACATCGCATTAGGTAGACTATGATACTGTACCTCACTAGGTACACTATCGCACTAGGTAGACTATGATAATGTACCTCACTAGGTACTCTATCCCACTAGCTAGACTATGAT